GTGTTTTTTTTAAAGACTTATTATAAACAAAATTTTATCTATTTTCAACAGTGGAAGTGTTTGCCAAATAACAAAATCATACACAGGTGTTTGTAAACACTTTAATAAATCCTTTGTCTTTTTTGAAAACTATGTGCTTTTTAAACTGAATTTGAAATAGAAACACATATTCCTTGTATCACAAATTACACAGTTTATGTGGTGAAAAATTACTATATTAAAAACTGAATAATCTATTTATCTATTTGCACAGAAGTTTCAATACTCCGCCATGTAAAGGCAGCAGTTATAGCAAGTATAAAGTATGTTTATTTTGAGAATGGCAAGAAATTCTTGAATGTAAATTTGTCAACACCTTGCGAAGAGGAAGATGATGTCGATAAGATCAGAAGAGGGAGCTATTAAAAGAATATTTGCCTGAATTTAAATAGAGTTGTGGCACTTTTGGGATTTATTTTTACTTAAAAGAATAAACAAAAGCCACAAAAACATAAAATTTTCATTTTTAAAGTTGTATCCATGAGGTTTTTACACTGCTACCCCCAATACACCAGTTCAAGCCAACGAGGTAATAATGGAGAATATATTTGTTGAAGCTCAATATTTCCACAATCTCCCAGTGGACCTAATTAAATGATCATCCTTGTGCCCAACTAGATCTGGGGGAGCAGACCCTTCCACACAAAACCCCAATTACTTCATTAAAGTTCCACCTCCATGATCAGACTGCAGGATTAGGGCCTAAATAAGAATTTTTTTCTAATAAAAGGAAATCTTATCTAACTTGCATTTTAAGCAAGGATTGGAAACAAGAAAGAGGAATACCAATTGCTGAGCAGGGTGGAAAAGTAACTTGCCTATTCACTTACACAAAAAAGGAACATTTTTCTTTTTTTCCTTTATACCATCTCCTGTGATGCATAATATCAAAGACTGGCAGACTTACAGATCAAAATGTTACGCTAAAACTGTTATATCAAAGAAGAGGAACAGTTAAAAAAGATCAAAAATGATGAGAAGCTGAAATGTATTGCTTTGTTAATATAACATTATTATATAGTTAGTTCAATTTCAAAGGCAAAGCTGGTAGCACCGCCTATTATTTATGTTGTCTGACATTTTCCATTGTAAAATCCTGTTTTTGCTTGTAACTAACTGTTTGGACTGCCAGGTGTCTATCACGGGCTGAACTTTTTGGGGAAATTTTCAGCCAGAACGATTCAGCCAGAGTATGAAGCTAGGGAAAATACATTGTTCTCCTCACATTAAAAAATTCCAGTGACCTTTTCTTTGAAAAGCTCTAGGTCCTCCATGAATTGGAGCAGGGGTTTGAAATTTGGCATGGAGATGCAATGTGTGTCCATGTGACTCAAAGCACCCCCTTACTCATACCCTACACACTACTGTAATATTCTTTGTACAAAATATGCCTAGTGAGGTATCAATGAAAACTAATAACTTACTGGTTAATCATATGTATGCCTCAACATTACACGTAAAGTTATGAATTCCACCTGTATGATGTTATTAGCACAGGTTCAAAAGCAGACAGTCCTGCCTAGGCAAAAGTTGTTAAACAGGTTTATCCTGAACCAAGGAGTATGTTTATCTCAATTTACATATAAGCAGTAAACAGGTTCATCTGAAAAAGAGGGTTGGGGGAGAGGGGCGAAGATAGCAGAGGACACAGCAATTTGCATTCCAGCAAACACAATTGGGAGAAAAAAAAGAGTATGAAGCTTCTTCCATCAGCAGACTCCATGTCACCTTCCTCACTGCTTGAATAAATTTTACTTTGAGGGGTAACCTTCCAAATAATCAATTTAAAAGGTTTACAGCTCTATAAAGACAGAGGGCTGAACCTCTAGTGATAAGCAGTTGAAGCAACTAATTGAATACAATATTAGTGTATCATGTAAGGTCTTTTATGAATGCCTATAAGTTACAACACGCTTCAAAAATGGCTCTTGGGTGGTGGTTGACAGTAAGTAGAGGGTATGGCAATAGAGGGAGGCCAAGAAGCAAGACCTCTGAATCTTCTGACGTTTTCACGGTGACTCGGCGCTGTGCTGGTAAAAAGGTGCATGGGGGTGGGGGGGTAGCCTTGATCTATAAAGTTGCCTCAGGTATTTCCTCCTGGGGGCCAGAGTATAAATCCCCAAGGAATGCAGAGTTGATCTCAAGTTTTTTAGTGAGTGCAGGGATTCATTCATTTTCTCATTAAAGAGATTCGACCTGTTAAAAGGAAGGTCCTGGATTGTGTTTTGGACCTCCCCAGGAAATCCTGATGATTGCAGCCAGGAGTCCCCCCTCATGATTAGCCAAACTTCTAGAAGCTGTGTCTGCCACATCCACTGCAACCTGAAGAGCTACCTTTGCCACTAGCTTTCCCTCATCTAAGAGAGATTGAAATTGGACCATCCTCTGTGGAAAGTTCTGTGAAGACTGCAAGCCTAGAACAGGTATTAAAACTGTATTTTGCTAACAACACTCGGCAGTCAGTGACAGAAAAATGCAGATCTGTGGAGCCCACATTACTCAGACCCGGTGGCTGCAAGATGTCCAGGAGCCAGTGTTGAGAGTCCTGGACCTCCTCTAATGGGATCGATAGGTTTCTGGCCACTTCTTGTAACAGCTCCTGGTATTGACAATGGTCATGCAGCAGAAAAGGCGAGGAAGGAGTGACTGCTTTGTCCGGGGAAGAGTCACCTGTCGGAATTGTTGGTATCTGCGGATCCAGTTCCACCTCTTCCTCCTCACACACCAACAGAACCAACTGGCAAGAGGAAGAGGAGCAGTATGACTCCTGAGAGGGGCAAGATGCCAGCCATAAGGATCCCACAGACCAGTAAAAGGGATCAATCGATTGCAAAGGACCCCAAGGAAAATGGAACTAGTGGCCTCTGGGGAGCTTGTACCTGGTGGAATGGCAAGCATAACCCTTTGACTGTATCAGGGCTCAACTGCCTTTGCGGAGATACCAGTGCAGTCATCTCCTCTGAGTCATCTGAGTCCAAAAACTGCTCAATCGGTAGCAGCAGTGCCATTGGTACTGGGGCACTCCTACCAGATGGTTGGAGGTGAGACAGCTCCTGGGTCAGTGATATAGGCTCCCCCTCGGGAGTAAGGGCATCCGTTAGGAGGGCTGAAAAGAAGCAGAGACTGTGGATAAGGGAGGAATATATTCTTTGGTGTTATACACGTCTCGGTGCACCCTGATGTTCAAGGGGTTCCTGCAGTTAAGTCTGACAGATCCAGTGCAGCAACCAGACGGTCTTTAAATAGATAAGACAGTACTGATAATGGGTCCAGACCCGAACTTGCAGACAGAATTGGGAAGCAGCTATCCTTATGCTTCAGTACTGAAGTGACAGATGGAACTGGCGGATATTTCTATTTATGTATCTTGTCCTCAGATCAGAGGGTCTTCATTAGAGCTGGGTTCTTAGATTCTGCTTGCAATGTCTCATCCAACCTGGACCAACTCAGGGAGGAAGTGTGTTTCTTATGGCCAGTCCTCAACAGGAATCTGTCCTTGTGCCCATGAAAGAGCCCTCTTCTCTCATGGGGAACCCTGGAAGAAGAGTCCTTGGACTTAAATGTTGACAGCTCCACTCCAGGCATAGATGCGAGAATTAGGAGTGCGGGGGGTGCTGCAGCACCCCCAGGTTTTACGCAGGGCTCCACTCCTGGCCCCGCATGCAGGGTCCCAGCTGCTGGCCTCACATCCGGGCTCCACTCCTTGCCCTGCACATGGGGTCCCGGCCCCACTCCTGGGGTTCCGGCTGTGACCCCCGCGCCCAGGATCTGCTCCTAGCCCTGCCCCTGCCCCCAACTGTGGCCCCAGCCTCAGCCTCTTTATCCCATCTGTGTCTCCCCTTCCCAGAGACACAGCCCTGATCCCGGCCACAGCTCTGGGGGGGATGGGGCAGAAAAGGATAAGGGGGCTGGCTTTCAGCACCCCCACTATTAAAAGTGTTCCAGTGCCACCTACTCCAGGGCAAGTGCTTGGAAGGGCACAGCTAGGCTGCTGAGACCGAAGTACAGTAGGCTGTCCCTGGCCTAGATCGGAGAGAGGCCTCATAGCCTTCTCCATCAGGTGCTTCCGTAGGTGCTTCCCGGGCTTCTTGAGTTCTGTGTGGGAAGGAGCAACACGTACTGCACTTTGCAGAGATGTGTGCTTCACCCAGATTGTACAGATAACACTGATGTTCGTCACGGATGAAGAAGAATCGAGGACAAGAGGTGCAATTCTTGAATCCTGGGACTCTGGGCACAGTCGTGGAGCCAGGGGACTGGTTCGCCAACTGGGGAGAATTAGGCCTGAATAAAGACTGGGAGTGGATGGGTCACTACAAAAAAGTAATCTTCCCTCTGCTGATACTCACACCTTCTTATCAACTGTTGGAAATGGCTGACGTCCACCTTGATTGCATTGGCCTCGTTAGCATGACAAAAGTAATTTTCCTTCTCTTGATATTCACCCCTTCTTGTCAACTGTTGAGAATAGGCCACTTCCACCTTGACTGAATTGGCCTTGTTAGCACTGACCCCCCCACTTGGTAAGGCAAATCTCATTTTTTCATGTGCTGTTTATTTATACTGCTACTGTATTTTTCACTCCATGCATCTAATGAAGTGGGTTTTAGCCCATGAAAGCTTATACCCAAATAAATTTGTTAGTCTCCAAGGTGCCACAAGGACTTCTCGTTGTTTTTGCTCATACAGACTAACACGGCTACCACTCTGAAACCGGGAGAAAGAAATATTCTATACTATTCAATAGACTTTTTAACTGCTAAATACATATCTAAGAATATAACTATTTACAAATGTTTTCTATATAGGTTATGAAACAAAGTGAAGGGGGACATGATTCCGATCAGGCCACACGGTGATAAGAAGGAACTGGAGAGGCATCAACCTACACTGCCTCTTATACTCTTGGTCGGGAGCACAAGGAGAGCTACTGTGCATGTGCAGGCCAATGGATGCTGCTTTGAAGAACTTCCGGACTTTGGTGCATGGTGCATGCACACCCACATGTAGAATACAGATAGTGACATCACTCGAAGAAGAATTAGAGACGGTTTCATAATGCATATGCATATGGGAGCCAAATTAAGGTTGCATAGACAACCTTCATTGTGGCATTTTCTAACTTCTGTGTACTTAACTTTGCAACATAATAATGTTCTTTTAAGACAGTTGTGTGTGTGTAATCTTATTTATATACACACGTACTCATGCGCACACATTATTGAGTAAATGGTGTATTAGTTCTATTTCATGACATTTATATGCTGTAATTGAAATTAAAACGAAACTGAAAAGTTCAACATATATACCTGTTTTGTAGGTTTATGTGTTCCATGAGTCACTCTCTTAGATTTTCCACCTACTTGCCATTTAGACTTACCTGTAAAGAAAACAATTATTTTAATCAGCAATAACTATTTTAGGAAGATACATTATTCTAATATTTAAGCAGCCAAGCTTGTAGTGTGTTAACAACAGTGCACTACACTCATAAGATAGATGAGGGGAACAATTAATGAATTAAACCAATTTGCAAAATTGTATGTACTGAATTTGATACTTATTTCCATCGGTTCTAACTGAAGGAAAGAACTGAAGATACAATTTAAAAGTTGGCAAATATAAGCATGAGAGAGAAAAATTTAGAGATTTTTCTACACAAGGGTGGACTGCTTTCCAAAGGTGCTAAGCACTTCGAAAACCAGGTAATTATCATCTAGAACAGGGGTCGGCAACCTGCAGCATGCAAGCTGATTTTCAATGGCACTCACACTGCCCAGGTTCTGGCCACCGGTCCAGGGGACTCTGCATTTTAATTTAATTTTAAATGAAGCTTCTTAAACATTTTAAAAACCTTATTTACTTTATATACAACAATAGTTTAGTTATGTATTATAGACTTATAGAAAGAGACCTTCTAAAACGTTAAAATGTATTACTGGCACACGAAACCTTAAATTAGAGTGAATAAATGAAGGCTCAGCACACCACTTCTGAAAGGTTGCCGACCCCTGATCTAGAAGTTAGATACACCACTTTTATATACAGCTCAAATATAGTTAGAGTTTGCAGGTAAAGTCAACAAATATTGGTGTTATTAGCCTTTATCCATTGCTTATTTTAATCAAAATTTTATTACAGGATTGAAATAAGGGATATTGGTTGGGAAAACAGAAATGGAAAAGTTTAGCCATTAACTATTTTTCCTGAAGAACTGTTTATACAGCCCGGACAGTTGGCTTACATGCCCCTTCCAACAGGTGGAGACAGGAAGAAACTGAGCGCTCTTATGGGGACACCATTTTTATATTGTTTTTGAGAGCTCTTTGCAGGCTCCCAGTTGAATGATCTGGCAGTAAGTTTTATAAACTACAATAGACTGAATAAACAAAAAAAATGAAATATAATTCCTCAGAATAAGCGTGTAGTATGTCTACTTTAACACAATACTCTCAGATTTATAATTAGCAGGTAAGAAATTTCCTTTCTTTGAATGTTTTCATAAGGAATGGGATCTTTTGAATTTAAAAAGGAGTTTGCTCAAAGATAGATCTAATTTCAAAAGCTATTTCTTTTATGTTATTTTTTTCTTGATTTATTCCTCTGATTTGATGTCTTACCTTACAAAAATATATAAAATGTAAAAGTTACAGGGTCCTATTTTCAAAGTGTAAGCAATTGAGACCAAATGCTAATTATGGTAAATGTACTTTCTGACACTAGGTATATGTTCAGAGGAAAGATTCAGACATCTTACTGAACTGATCATATTATTTAATGAAATAAAAGCAACTAAACAACTGAGTGGACTTAATATACGTCATGGGGTAGGCAACCTATGGCACGTGTGCCGAAGGTGGCACGCGAGCTGATTTTCAGTGGCACTCACACTGCCCGGGGTCCTGGCCACGGGTCCAGGGGGCTCTGCATTTTAATTTAATTTTAAATGAAGCTTCTTAAACATTTTAAAAACCTTATTTAATTTACATACAACAATAGTTTAGTTATATATTATAGACTTATAGAAAGAGACCTTCTAAAAACGTTAAATTG